CTTTGCATAGCAATTTTGTTAGCCCTCCCCCCCCCCCCCCCCCCCAACTTTGACCTAATCTTTCCTTACTGTAGCAGTGCAATGATGGGATATACTCTGCACACATTTTCAGCATCTGTTACTGCAACAAGGGGTGTCTTTTGGTCCTTGGCTACATATGGAAATTAGTTGACACATATGAACTTGCATACACACCTACATCAACGGTTGCCGCATGCTTGAGAATTTTTCATGTTTTACTATCTATTTTTGCAGAAGCTATTGTTATATTTGCTAATTGTTTTATTGTTTTTCTCTCCTTGTCCCATAGACGTCCATTAAACCAGGCCGCTTGGCTCGGCAGCCATCTTTAGAGCTGCTTAGTCCTACAGATCCTGTATCAAACATAAAAAACCGATGGGAGATTGGAGACGTTACTACAGCTGCCAAAGCATCCTCTTGCAAGGTATGACATCTATGTGCAGTAGGCATACTGTATGTATGAACTTCTTTTACAGTTGAAGCATTTCATACCTCAAATGGTTTTCTGTATGTTTTCATGTGAGCCCCTTTTACACAATGCACAGTAACACACAAAGCTAAGAGTCGTGTGTTGCGATGCATTGTCAGCCCATTGATAATAAATGGGCTGTCTGATGCAGTGCACATTTATTGCGCAAATACAGCATGCTGAATGTACACAATACAATGAACAGGCCCTATACATAACCTATTCTGAGCTGCCATTGCTGACTTCCCCTGTTAAATGATAGTGGCCTGTTAAAATGATATTGGCCTGGCTGCTCATGCTGATCCAAAGGCTTCAGTACTTCCTGAGTCACTGATCTGGAACAAAAATGCAGTTATGGAGTTCTGAGATGGTGCAGACAGGAAGGGTAGATGGTGTAGACAGGACAAAGAATGGTTCAATGTGTACTTGCCTTGGATACGTCTAACAATGTTCTTGTGCACTGCCTACCACCCAATATATCTGTTAAATACTGTGCTTTTTCTTTGGCCAAACCTATTACAAAATAAAGAAATACGGCTCCTTTGCTATCTCTCTATCATGTACATATTATGAATAGTTTAACATTTGGGTTGCTCATTTAATTTGCTGTGGTATTGGCTTCATGCACAATGTATTTATTGTTTAACAGGATACAGAGGGCATCAACATTGGTGTGTCAGACATGATCAACCAGTGGGGTAAAGATAAAACCGAACCCGATGGCCAGGGAACCCCTCTAAAACTCGCAGTAAGTTAATGTACTCACAGCAACTATGCTTCGCCATGTGAAATGAATGACCCTCTCATACGTTTTTTTTATTTCCATTTGCAGGAAGTGAAGCCAGGAGATGTACTGAGCAAGAAGAGCTTGTGGGAACAGGGCTCCAAGTCAGGACAAATGAATAAGGTGACATTAAAATGTGCAATGTACAGCATTTCCTGAGTTATTGTTTCCGATGAAGTCTTGTTAAAGTGAACCTGAGCTTGTCATATGCAATGTAAAGCAACAGCCTTATTTTATTCACTTATCCCCAGCAGAATTTTTCACGCCCTTTGTCGCATGCGCCGACACTGCTCCATACACAAAAGTCCTAGGTATTTCCATTGCTCCCTGTGGCTAAACAAAGCAGCAGGGGAGCGAAAGACAGCTGAGTATGTGCTCTACTGGGGAAACGAGCTTTAAAGCCAACCTGTTACTTTGCACTGCATGGCCAAAGCACAGGTTGAGTTTAGAGTGAGTTTTCCTAATTCTATCCAGGGTGAAAGAAAAATGCTGTTGACAGCTTTGATGCTCCCACATGTTCCTAATTTGAAGGGACTGTCCCTCCTTTGGAACCAACTCCCCCTGTTGTCCCCTTTTTGGTCTGATGTATTGACCTCTATAACACAAAATGCACTATTTAACTACCTAAAGTGTTATTTTACACAGATCCATTGATCCAACCTCTAAATGATTATATTTGTTGCATTATGAACTCGGTAGAATGGAAACATGGGTCTAAAAAGGCACTTTTTGCCAATCTAACCAATTATATCCTTATTGGTTATTTGAAACTGTACTGTGTAACTGGGTACGTTGTGGTGGTGTGTCCTCTGCCTACATATTGTGTCCCTCTTTCTCATCTGAGAACATTGGTGGGTTTGTTGTACCTGCCACTGATCTAAGGGCTCCTTAGATCAATGACAGGAACTAAAAGAACTGTCAGTTCACTGATGACGGCTACAGAATGAGGTCGCAGAGAGGAATGGAGAGTGGCGACTGGGAGGCCCCATCAAAATGTTGCTATGGGGTCCAGTGATTTGTAGTTATGTAACTGGCTTTTACCCTGTTCGGATGTTGCTTGAAATAGGAGGACACCTTTTAGGTTGTATACAGATACTACAAGGGTGTTGCCAACATGCGCTGGTATTAACCACGGATGTAATATTGCAGTAAGCTTGCACTGCCTTTATTATAGTTCCTAAAGTGCTCTTCAAGTGTACCACCTTCATACAGTAAGTGCAACAGTATTCTAAAGCTGACCATAGGCTGCTCAAATTTGAGTCCTGCTGATAAAACTCGAGAAGTGCATGGCACTACCGGCACCAAGTTGATTCTTCAATCAATGTTTGTCGGTGGAAAATTGTTGGCTGTAGTGACTGTTCGGCCAATTAGCCACCAGCAAACCTATTACTGATGGAAAGTATAGGAATAGTTTTTACTTTCCTCAACAGTCTTCCTAAGAGGATGGCCTTAAAGCCAATCTCCACCTTTGCAGAGGTATTTAAAAAAAACAACATATGCCAGCATATGCCCTAAACCAGACAGTGCATTGTGTATAAAGGCAGAGCTGGTGTTTACTGATCATGTTACAGTGGGTGACAGGGAGGGGGCAGCTGTTCCACGTGGCGAAAATGTTGAATTTTTAGGCTTCAGGCCTAATGTAACCTTCATTAAAAAAATTGAAGGAAGCCTGCAATGCGAGTCATGAAAATGTGCACATATATACATCATCACTACACCTCTTCATTACCAGAATAAATGGTAATTCATCCAAGTCAGCTTAGCGCTCAATGGGCATCCATTTAATTGTGAAAAATGATGCAACATTTTTACTTGTGGACCCAACAATTCCCTACACAGTGGATTCTAAAACAAGCTTCCACTTTTGGACGACATTATAAAAAAATTTGTGAATGTATATTTTGTTGCTTTGAAAGGAAAATTGTAGTTAATTTTTTTTATAGCTATAGATTGTTAAACTAATGTTTTTATATATTTTACAATATAGATATACAATCTTTTATATAAAAAAATAAATACAATACGTATGGCGCAACAGTATAGGTTTTTTTCTAAAGAGAGCACAAAAAAATGGAACCTCCAACACTATGGAGGAGGTGGCTTAATCCTACTCCTTTTGTGTATGTAAAGTTCACCTTGAGTTACTGAGCCCCCTAACAGCGGGCTTTTTTTAAACTAGTGTCAAAAAGAAAATTGGGAAACGTGTAAAGTGCCACCTGCTGGATGCATATGAAAATGAAAAATATTCATATTTTTTATCTAAAAAAAAAAAGAAAATATTTCAATCTACATTTTTATTTTTTAGTCCTGACCCAGAAAATAAAGCAAATAAAAAAACTAGACCACAACACATTCATTTTAAGTACATTAAAGTGTATCTAAACCTATGAACATAAATCTAATATATTGCAGCTTACCAATCCTTTTGGGGGCGGCATTAGTTTTAATTTTTTTCACATTTTTTTTTTCCTTTACTTTAACCTGATGATAACACACTTTATGTCTTAGGGTGACGAAGCTAATTCGCATCACTGTATGAAGTATCCGCATTGGAAGTGTTTTGGGACTATAGAACACATTCCTCTCTCCTCTTCTCTCCATAACCTGGGATGTGTTCTATAGTTCCCAGAGAGAACTTCTGCCAGGGTTTACGCATGGCCCCAGAAACGCATAAACGCAGGCTGAAATGCAGTCAGAAGGACCTTTTTGCTCGAGGCTGCAGAGTTTAAGCCATTTTCTCCTGATTCTTGTGCCAATGCTGACTAGATTGATTAATTGAAGGCTTTCTATTGATGACTTGTTTGTGAGTACATCTGTTGCTTAACTTTTTTTAATAATAAAAACATCTAAACAAGGGAGGCGCACTGTTCTTATGTTCCCTGCTCAATGGCCTACCATAGATGTCAATAGCTGTACGAGGATATGTGCAGGTACTTGCATATAGCCACCTACCCATATCGATGCACATCCCTGGATGCAGGTCCCTACACATATGCAAGTACCAGTCTACAGTCACTGACTTCTAATGGAGGCTGCAACACCTGTGGCTCGCAGGTGAGAGAAATGCACATGACTGCATTTTGTACGGGTTCAGCCACCCATGTTCTTGAGCCCTTAAACTGCCTTAAAGTAACCTGTCAGAACAAGGTCACTTGTATCCAAAAGCATTCCTGCTAAAAAAGAAAAGAGGGAAAATACTTCCCTTTCTGAAAACGCCACCATTTTGCTGCTCTTGACAAGTATTCAACCGTTCGGATCAGTCGAATATCTGTTTCTCCTGCCGCATGCAGGGTTTCACACATCTGAAGTCTGGGGAGCAGTGAAGTGGTAATTTTTTTGTTTTTATTTTTTCAAGACATGGGCTGATGGAAAGGTAAGTATATTCCCTCTTCTTTTAGCTGGTATGGTTTGTACTACAAGTAGCCCTGTGCTGAAAGGGTTACTTTAACGCAACACACAATATCGTGTGGTATACTGCACATTATTGTGAATGCAGCAATGCATTGCAGCTCACCGCAGATGTGTGAAGGGGCCCTATAACTTACCATTCTGCTGAGAGTGACTTTAGATTCTAACGTTCAATACAAACAAAGGCATTTGTCAGCTGACAATTTTATTAAGTACATGTATGCATGTCCTAGGCTATAGATGTATGAATTATTACAAGGATAATCATAATGTACTCTTACAGGCTTGAATTAAGTGGCAAATCGGGAATTGTGACTTGCATAAAAGACTTCATATTAACTCCTAAAACATAGAACACTTATTCCTAAATTGACCACTGACTCTTTCTCTCTCCTGCAGAATGCGGCTTCCACTAAAAAGTACAAGTTTGTTCCAGTTGGACATGGAAAATATGAGAAGATCTTAGTGGACGAGCCTTGATGGGGTAATTAAAGATGTCCAGTGGCATTACATTCTTGTCATTCTGTGCTTCCTTCATATATGTATTCAGTTTATACCATTCACTTTCTCTTTTGTTTCCTCTTGTGTTACATTTAATTATTTGCCCTTTCAGTCCGTACAAACCAAGGGTAACTTCATCATTCCAACTGTTTCTTCACAACATCTCAACTATCTACCATCTGAGCACCATGGGAGGCATACTTTGAGTTATCTGGCAGTAATGTGTTCATGTCATTTAAATGATGGGAGCAAACATTTGTTGGACTGGACAATGTATTCAGAACCAATCCATTAAAAACTAGAGGTGCACCGAAATGCAAGTTTCAAAACCGAAATTAAAAAAAGTCGGGCAGTAACCCAAAAAAAGTTTTTTGTTTTATATATTTTTTTCTTTACTGTTGGAGGCTTCGGGGAAATATTAGGGGTCTAAACAGACACCTGATTTTTTTTCCCTTTTTCTGCATCCCCTGTTATAAATGAACAGGAAGCATCTATACTGAGTGATTCTGTTCATTCATAACTTGTGGTGCTAGTATGTTTACCATGTCCACAATCATGAATGAACAGGAAGTGATGTAGATCACTTCCTATTCATTCATAATTGGGAACACAGTAAACATACCATGTCCTCAATTTACAAACACTCAGCGATCACAGAGTGCTTCTACCCGCTCTCCATCCTGACTCGCTGTCACAGGAGGCTGAGCGAGTGGTGCGGGGAGGAGAGCTCAATCTCCTGTGACAGCCAACTCCTCCCCTGTACTGCCAGCCCAGCCTTCTGTGACAGCTGAAAGCAGTCTCCGCCCCCACACTGCTCTCCTAATATGTCACAGGAGGCGGTGTGGGAGGAGAGAGACAGAGACGCCGGCCCTTCACATTGCTCTCCTCCCCCACACCACTCTGCCTTTTTAGGGTAAGGCAACAGCAGTGCAGAACTCTTACCAGTAGAAATTCTCAGTTGATTTAAAGCTCAACTCTGGGATCAGCCTTCCTGCCAGCATGTTGCCTCCCCCTTCCCTTGAGGCCCCTCTTATGTTTTTTGTATGTATGTTGTTTGGCTATTGTATACTTTTTATAGATGTCTTTTATGCTAGTCACATGACATGCTAGGTCCTCTTCCTCTTCAGTCTTATAGGTACTAGGTGGCCCTAAACAAAGAGCAGCAATTATGTGACGTCAGCAGTGACCTGTAACTGTACACTGTAAGTGCAGGACACCGTAGTGAGTTAAGGGATAGGCCCATGACGCAATGCACTCCTCAGTCTTCCAGTTTGAATGAAGATGACCATCATTCAGCACTGAAGACTGTGGACAACTTGTGACAGAAAGGAGTAATGTGGGGAACATCTCTGGATTAGAGTTGGTACAGGGAAAGCTGTTTTAACTCCAGCATCTAGCAAATTCTCAAAGATCTTTTTTTGGTGGACTTACCCTTCTGAATGCATCCAGTCAGTTATCTTAATTGTACACATGAGCATTAGATCTACATTGAAGCTGGTCATACTCTTAAACTATCCATTATTCACCCAACATGCTGCCCTACAACATAGTGTATGTTGGGTAATTTCCAAATTAATGCTTATTAGGTAGCCCAGCACAGTTCTAACCCATCACTACCATATTAACAGACCTTGAATCCAAGTGAAATCCTGAGAGTGAAATATCCCCTGAGATGACCTCTTGTAGTCCTGCTTTTTGCAGAAATTGTATGCAGAAATTCATCACATATTCATCACATATGACACTCGGCCTGTATGAGGCTCTTCATTTCATCACAAATAAGTGATGCAATGATAATTTATAGTAGAATAAAGGCCGCTCTTGAATGGCCACCACTGTGAATTGGGCTCTTGGGTACAGGATACTGTGATGCAACACCTACTTTTGGAGCCAACAGGTGCACTGGGACCTGAGACACTTTGTGCCTCTGTCTCACTGATGTCACCGATACCTTGAGTTTTTTAAAAAAAACATTGACATTAATGTTTCAGCCGGCAAGGCAGCTGTTTCTAGGAGATTGGTACCCTTTTAACTCAAGTAGTAACATTTTTTGCACAAAAAGCAGATCATCAATGCTCCTGTGCTTTTTGCTTACTTATTGAACTGTCTCCATTCCTAATATTCTTTTAAATTCCCACTCTCATTATCATCTGGTATTTGTCCATTGTCATCTCCGCAGAATCTGCAGTGCACAGAAAAAGCAGATAGATCATTTTAATGTCTGCAGATTTTGTGTAAATGAATAGACCTGAGGACATAAAACAAACAAGTAATAATACCAAACGCCTACTAAGTTGCACAAGTGTAAAGAAAAAAAGACTGTACTAGAATTAGGATATTTGATGGTCACTTAGTTTTCTGGTGCAGCCACTTATCCTACATTAGCTGTCATTTAAAAAATAAAGATGTAAAATGGCAGTTGACATTTTTAACTGGACAGGAAGACAAATGGGTCTTGGGGAATATCACTTTGCAATATACAACCAGCTTTATATCAATATACAACCACCTATTAATGCAGTTACGTATTCATTAAGATAAATAAATGCAATGCATTCTTACATACAGCTAGAGTAGGTACCTGAATTATACTTCCTGTAATGCCCTGCACTTTTGACTGGGAATGGGAGGGGCAGCCAGTCAGGTTTCCTGCACTGAGCATGTGCTAACAAGGAACAATCTGTAGGGAGGAGAGAGCAGAGTAAGCACAGCAGTCTGCTGTCACTCCTTCACTGTCCAGTCATAAGCTGGGGGCAGGGAGGTGACCAACCTGTGTTTTCTAAACTACAGTAAAGAAAAGTGAGATCACCCACCAGACTTTGGACTGGATTTAGAGAACTGCAAATCCTTTAGCAGGTAAATTTATCTCACATGTAGGTATTTGGTTGTTTGGCTTGTTTATTCTTGAGTGTTAATTTTAAGAACTCTATTGCATAAACCAACTTGTTATTTATGTTCAGTGACCCTTTAATACTTGGACACAGCACATCAATACATGATTACATATGTTTAAAGGTATAAAAAGTTGTGAAGGGAGTAAACAAGTGAAACACTACACGTCTGCAGAACATTGTGTATCAATGGCTTAATAGATGGATAATAACGTTTTCATTCATTTTTTACTTCTGCTGCGTCCTCTCCCATTTTTTCCTGTTCGCCATCCTCTCCTTTAATGCTCCAGCCTGATGCCGTTCTGTTGAATGTGCTACTTGATTTGTCTGTGATTCGCCGGTGGAGCAAAGCGGTGACTTTGCGCAGTGGTCGGGCTGCTGCCTCCTTCAGTTTTCGTGCATCAAATCGAGGCCGATGTAGAAGGAGTGGTAAACGAAAGCGTAGAAAATGAAACTGAGGGGTAGCTGGTGCTGATGCTGGATTAGGTGTTGATCCTGATGCAGGCTTCTCTTGTACCTTGTTGGATGTGGCCATGTGATACAGTAGTGCATCCCACATCTTGTTGGCCCGATGCCCTTTGCTTTTTTGTGTAGCCTCAGGATCATCTTGTTTGGTTGCTTCTTTTTTCTCATCTTTCCCTTCTGTCTTTTGTGGTTCAGGAAATTCAGGCTCATCAGGGTCAACTACAAGGTGCTTCATGAGCCTTGCCCATCCACCACCTGACTTTTTCCGAGGTGCTTTTGGCCGTTCAGGGGTTTTTAGGAGGTTCCCCTTCTCTAAGTTGGGAAGTTTTGCAGAAGTATCTACATCAGTTTCTGGGAGTGCTGGTTTAGCTTTAACAGGATTTGCCACACTTTTAACTTCCAGTGGAGGACTTGTGGATTTGACTTCTGCAACTAATTGAAGGCCTCTATCTGTGGTATGGGCTGGAGTGGTCGCCTGATTCACATCAGTAGGCTTTGAAGGAAGAGTTGATTTGTTGGATGAAATTTCTGCAGCCCTTGAACATTCTAATATTTCTGTTTTATTTGTTGTCTCCGATGCTGTAGCTTGCAATGTTGCTGGGTTATTATTTACAAGAACTGCACTACAACTTATGGAAATATTTGCGGGCCTCTGCTGATCAGACAATAGACTTTGGAGTGTGGAATGACCACTTTCTGTATTTGGAACAGTTGGGTTTCTCTGAATTTCTATTATGTTTTCCTCTTTATTTGGGAAATTAAGTCCTGGTTCTGTTTCAGGCGAAATAATATCGGGGATATCAGAAACTGAGATGAGGGGTACTACTGGTTGTGTAGTATGTGTTGGATTAAAAGTAACATGTCTTGGTGTGCAAGGTCGTGGACTGGCATTGGCATTCACTCTTAGTGAGGCATGGTCAGAGGTGCTACCTCCTGAAGGGAATAGAAAAGGATTGTCATTGGTACTAGATCCAAAAGGTCGTGGAGAAGGTGTGTCAGGAATTGGACTAGGGCTGAGATATTGGTTCAGACTGTATTGCTCTGGCACAGTGAAGGTAAAATTGCGTTGTTTCGGGTAAGGAGAGGGTACTCGGTGGATCACTCCCCGTAACTGAAAACGAGGAGGTAGAGTAATAGGGGTAAGCAGGTGTTTCTGTGCAGCAGCAGGTTCAGTGATTTCCATGTCACCTTCAGTGACTGGAGAAAGAGTTGAACGGAAGGTCTTAGGGGATTGTGTTGGAAGGGGCTGTGCTCCACTTCTCTTCGCAGCTTTCCGCAGGAGGCGCTGTAGGCGTGCATTGTCTTTGTTGGGTTTAGGAGCTGTGGGAGGTGGCACAGGAGTAGGAGGTCCTGGATTCTCCAGGGGGGTCACTGTCAGCAGCATTCTGACTCCTGGTAGAATGAGATACAAAAAAGTGTGTTTACAAAAGTTTAAGTTTGGTCAAATAAACAAACAGGAGCTTCAAAGCCAGCCCTCTACTTCCTGTCTGGCTTTTTCACTTATTCATTGTGGCAATTGTTGATCTTAACCTTACCGTAAACATTAAGCTTTTCTGCATGTTGGGTGCTAACCCTAAAAATTAGATGTCACCAATTCCAGATGGTTTTGATTCGGGGAAATAATCAC